AAATTCTCTATCACACATGTTTCACCCTTGTCATTCTGCATCACATCTTTGATTATGATCCCTTTCTTCACATCTTAATATTAATATCTCTCTTTAATATGACATTCCTTCTCTTCTTCCATTCATCAAAATTTAAACACATTGCTTGTTTGATTCAATCAACTGCCCTCTGGACCATCTGGACTACCTATACATCAACATCTTTTGGTTCTTATTCTTCCAACCCCTCCTCTATTACTATTACATTCCCAAGAAAACTAAAAAACCCGTTTCCCAAGCTCCTGTAAGGCCAAAACTCCTGAATCTAGACTTTGGTCATTCTTTGGCAAAGGTAATCAGTAAACAATTCTCCAGTTAGTGTTAGTTTTTGCCTAGCATATAGCATGCTGAACCAGATTTAAAAATTATTTACAGTTGTGTCTTCCTGAATGGCCTCATAATTTAAATTGATTATTAATCTGTCGAGCTGTATTTCACTCTACACGACCCGAGGTCCGTGAAATTTCTTGGTAAGTGATCGGCGATTTACTGAATTTTGTATATGCTCATCACATAATTTTGTTCGTCTTATTGTAAATTGCACTCATACTCATAAATAATTCTCAGAACATCAGTATGAATTATTTATTAATATACCTGATATTAGAAAGACCACATCTCAATCAATTCATACACTCGCTAATTGACAATGCATTGTGGATCTTCGCAAGTATTAATTATATATCGTAAGTTGAAGTGGTCTTAATTCCTTCCTTTGATTTTTCTTTGAATTAATCACATTTTCCTCCACTAGTGGCGAAATTACTCTGCAAGGAAAAGCAAGAGTCATGGCGGACGGTGCTGGATACCTTAATGATGTTTCAAACTATCAAATTGTTTGCATGGAGGGAGCAAAACCGGTTGATGATGATAAAAAGAACATTAAACGCATGGTACAACTGTTTAATAATCAGAAGCTTCAGAACGAAGACAAATATATACAGGTCTTCGAGTATTTGGTGCCACCGCTTATAGAACCGAACAATGCTTGATTTTCGCGGTACACAAGATGCGAAAATTTATAGTGATGTCATAAATTACCTATGAATCTACTAATTCAATTTTACTTGATCATTAGGGACATATCGTTTGTTTGAAGTAGACCGTTTTAGTCTTCCAAAAGATTGGGTAGACATGCCAAAATTCACCTTTATGTATGAAGCTCTAATAAAGTGGGCAGTAAG